GTGACCAGTAAAGATCCCAAAGGTCCTTCACTCCCACGTGCTGGAATGAGACAGCTGGGTGGGGGCTCAGTTAATGCCTTCAGCTTTGAACCCAAGCAAGACAAAACCCTCCTAGACCACTGTGAGAGACCATCCTGAGAATCAGGACAACAGACTTCCTTTTAAAATGTGGATCCCATCCCCGAACTTGGGCAGGGGCCTGGGATTCCTGGCTGTGCTGCCCTGGACACAGCCCTGTCCTTGAGAAGGTGTTGTGTCACCCTCCCAGGGCAGCAGAGCACACACTTGTGTGGTGCAGACCTGGATCATGAGGAATTTTCTCTGGATAACAGAATAATTCCTCCAGCTAAAGGTAAACCCAGTGTAGGAGTGCCTGTGGCTGCTTTAGGAAAACGCTGTCTGCCCTCAAAGTGTCACACTGATTCAAGAGGGAACTGAGCAAGATTAAAGGCTGCTCAGTTGGATTATCCCACATTTTTTCCAGTAGAACTTGAGGTGACATAGAAACGACAGGAATGCTTTCAAGGAAAACTGAGCTCTGCCAGAAATAACCTCAGTTTCCTGACCAGGTGATGTGGGCAGAGGAAAGATTTCACCTTCCAGGGTTCCTGCTCCAAGCACGATCAGGAAATCTCTGGAACAAACTACAGGATGCAATGTCACAGGGATTACCTTTCCTGCTGCTGGATTTTAGATGGCAGAGGCAGCTTTTGGTGCTCTCCCCAAAAATCAGCAGAACAACCTCGTTCATATCTCAGTTTTCCCTTCACCTGGACAGAAGTTTCAGGGTTGCTGCTGTTAATTCTTCCTTCACACCAGCAAACAATGATTCTGGAATCTCCTGTTATTGGCTTGTTCTTGGCAGTCTGGATCCAGCACACCCCAATTGTCATTTCTCTGAGGAAAAGGGGAAGAGTTGAGCAAGCTGCAGGAGCACACACAGACACCAGGGATATCCATTTCCATTCATGGATTCAGAGCTGGCACTGCCACAGCCCCGGGGACTCCAGGGTCACCCTCGTGGGCCTCACCTGGGCTCTCAGAGCCAGGGGAGTGTTCGAGGACATTTTGCCTTCAAAAATGGAAATCTCAGCCCTGTGAGACAAGGGGAGCTGAGCACAGCTGGGGAGCTGCAGGTCACTCAAATGACACAAACCTGGTTTAAAAATAAAAGCCCCAGAAATTCTGATTTTAACCCACTCTGTGCTCAGGCAGCCACACGAGATGCTTTGGTGCTGCCAGTGCACCCTTGCAGGAGAGAATTTGTGTTCCCCTGGATACTTTAGGGAGAAAAAAAGACCAAGAAGCAGGGAAGGATTCAGGAAGGACCTGGGAAGGATCCACATCTTGCAAGCACCACGAGCTCCCCCCTCCCTTTGTCCCCATTGCACAGGTACCAACAGGAGCCCCATCCATAAGGATTTACCCCAAGGGCAGGGATTTCCCCTCCTGGCAAGGACAGGCACTGAGGGAAGGGAAGCTGTAACCAATTCACTGCAGATACTCCAGGCTGCGGGAACACTCTATTTATTAGGTCAATATTTCATCTGAGCAATACAGTTACAGAATATCACAATGCTGGTTACAAACATAGGATGGCTCCGTGGGCACGAGGGGAGGAGTGGGGTACGAAACCTTCGTCCTGACACCACAGGGAGGGGGGGCTGCAAGGTCTAGGAATGAGCAAGATACTTTTATATAAATGAACGTGGCACTACAGGTGGAGATTGTGGTTTAGAGGTGGGTTTGTGTAAGTAGTTCAATTTATACAGTTATACAGTTCAAGCAACATCTTTTTTTTTTTTTTTTTAATGCTATTAAATTAAAATCCCCTGTAGTTCAATAAAGTATAAAAATAGTACTGAACCTGGTAATATTCAATAAAATGTAGAATTCATTCACATCATTAAGTAGTAAAGAAATTGTAAAGTTGTAGTTACCATGGCAACATCGTTTCCCAGAAAGGAATATACAGAAAAGAAAAGTTACACATATGGTACCTGCGACGAGTAGTTAGCGATCCAACACTGAACTTGTGCACCACAAACCAAGTTTCTAAATATCTCTATATATTTATATAGTATATATCTTTTTCATCTTTAAATTTACTTTTGAAAAGAAAAAAAAAAAATGTGCACTTCAACAAACTCACTAAGGCCACTCATGCTATAGATACCGAGGATTGCAAGGAGTAGTGGAATACCAGACCCTAGAGCACACACTTTACACCACCCAGGGACACCTGTGTCACTGCCCAAAACGTTCCTGAGATTTAGGGACAAAAGCATTCCCAGTGCTGCCGATTCTTTGCAGGTATTGGAATTTATTTCTAGAGAAAGGAAATTTTCCCCACTTCTCCCCAAAGCCCTCCCGGGGCCCAGAGGCACAAGGGCCCCAGGCCGGGAGTGTCAAACACACCCCACGATCAGAGGCAGCTTTGAGCTGACACTGGCCAGGAATTTTCTTATGAGGGAACAAGGACTTGCAGATAAAATCAGGTTCTGCACAGGCAGCAGAAGCAAGGACCTGCTGAAAGGTTGGTGGCAGCAGCACCTGCCCTGCAGTGCCAGCTGGGTCCAGCATCACCTTTGCCAACAGCTTCCCCTGCCCGAGGCACGGTGAGTTTTCCTTCCCGTGCTCCCCCACACTTAGGACTGAAAAAGGGAATGAGCTTCAATGTGCATTTTGTACCATGAAAAGCAGCAATGGCACCTCGAGCAAACTCCCCCCTCACTGATCCAAACAACCTCACACTGAAAGTAAAATATTGAGGGTTTGACTTCATCAATAGCGAAAATAATTTACCTTAAGGTGGCACCCGTGCTCACCACTTGCACCCAGTGACTCTAGGGGTGATTCCTTTACTCACCTTCGAGGAAAAGACGCATTTCACAGGATTTCCACTCCCACGTCTGCCCTTTCACTGCCAGCACCAGACAGCCCCTGCATGGGTGTGTTGTGCGTCTAGAAAAGCCAATCATTCATTCATTCCTGGATCGATGTTCCACCGTGCCAGGCCCCCACCCCAGCACTGACCCAGCTCTGCACGGAAAACCTGCCCTGGGCTACGGCAGGAGGGGAGAGAGGAGCCACGGGGCACTGGAGAGCCCCACGGGGGGAGAACAGAGGGAACTGCAGCTCCTGCTTTCAGCTCTGCCCGGGGCACAGTGGGGCAGGACTGGAGTCAGGCTACAACATCCACCCCAACGAGTCCTTTACCTGCCTCTGGCACCATCCCAGCAGCTTCCCACTCCTCAAAAGCATCAAGCAAACTGCAGAGCAGAGAGAGCAACAGAAACAGCAGCACAACATCCCAAACAGGCTCCAGGTGCCAACACAGAACTTTCCAAAACAGCTCCATTTGGGAGACACAGAACCAAACCCCCACGGGGCCAGCTCCGTGCAGTCCCAGCCACCAGTGCAGGTCCTGTGCAGCCGCAGCATCATCCTGGCCCCCCCCAGGCTGCAGCAGTGGCAGCAATCAGCCACAGCCACTCTGCTGCAAAGGGCCCTGCCCTGGCACGATGGAGCTGCAGGAGCTCAGCCCCGGCCAGGAGTCCCTGCAGGCACAAGAGGAACGCGCTGGAGCCCTCAAGGATCAGCACAAGAGCCCTTGGCCAAGTTCCTCTAGCAAAGGGATTCCCAGGGAGCTTTAGGACCTTCCTTCCCTCCAGCCCAGCTAACGAACAGAGCTGAGGCAGCTTTGGGAAAGGACAAAGAGGAGCAGCCAGCAAAGCTGAGACTGAAACCACCAACAAACAAACTGCAGGGACACGTCTGGTTCTGGAAGCACAGCTCCCCCCAGGCTGCCCTGACCCAAACGGGGACACAAACAGGGCTGGAGCAAGAGCAGTGAGTGGCTCATGCAGGCCCCTGACTGCTGTCAGTCTAACAATGCTCCTCAGCACCCACACAACCCCAGAGCTCGGCGATTCCTTAGCCAAAAGCTGCAGAGCCAAGACTGGGAACACTGAGTGGATAAATGATCTCCAGCCCATGTCAGTGTAAGCTCACGTGTCCAGCTGGGAGCTCTAACACCTCTGCAGGACACAATCACTCAGGTTCTTTAGGACAGCTCTCAGCCACTTTCCTGCCCATGTTCTGACACTGTTACATACTTTGTTTAACTTTAAATAACTTTTAACAGGACTTAAGAACTCTTATCACTTGTCAGTGCCATGGGCATTCAGGGAGAAGAAGGTTTTGCCTTGTATAGCTGAATTTGTCTGTAGCTCCTACACAGTCATAAACAAAAACTGCTATAAATAAATCACATTTTAAATCCACACATAACTGAGTTGGATTTGCACTGAGCAGCTGTTGCAGACACACTGCAGTTAAGTCCTAATACCACAGGGGGTTTTATGCAAATAACTTCTTTTCACCTCAGTGAAGATATTCTAAGTATGCAATCATTTATCTGCATTCACTAATTATGTCACATTGCATTTTAAAGTTGATATTACTCAGCCTTTCCCCCCCTAAAAAAAACACTTGAAGGCACCAAGATATGAACTATTGGCCTGTAAAATTTCACTTCTTAGAAGAGCCATTAAGCTCCAAGTCATGTCCAAAACCTCTATTTCTTCCCTGAAGATCATCCAACACCTTTCCCTGCCACAAACCTCATAAACCAACAAAAAACCAGACCCCAAACAGAACATCCAGTCCTGTGGGAAGAGCCAGCTGAGCCCTGGCTGTGACTGGCCAAGGTACAAACCCTGAAAAGAGGGGCAGAGAAAGCCCCAAAGGGACAGAACCCACAGAATCCCAGAGCCAGGGCACTGCTGGCAGAGCTGAGGTAACAGCAGCGAGTCAGTTCTAGTTTGTGTTACACAGACTTTCAAATATCAGGAATAAAACAAACCCCAAAACAACACCCAAACCCACACAACCACACAGCCCCCAACAGAAGAAGAATTAAGACAAGCTAGTGAGAGAGGCATTCTCAGAGGGTCTGTACAGCTGAGCTCTGCTTCGTAAATTAACGTAAGGAATCGTTTCTGGTTTGTACTCTTGTTTAATGTAGAAATGAAGCATCACAAAAAAAAAAAAACCTGTTGTGCTTTTTGGCATTTTCCACTGACCCCCGTGAACTGTACAGTAAGTTATGTTCTCCAGAAACAGAAAATGGAACTGGATTGGAATACAAAACTCTTCACTGGTATAAACAAGGTATGGCCTCCGTTAGCAGAGCAAGAGCCCACGGGACAGGAAAGGAGGAGTGGCTGCAGCAGAGTGGAGCATGTGGAGCTGTGGCACTGCCAGGAATCTCTGCAGAAGCTCACTGGGTACAGACAAACCATCAATTCACTTCCTAGCTCTGGATCTACCACATGGATATCATTTGCACTGATCAGACACCTAAATGAGAGAGTTCTACTGTCAAAGTGAATGCAGGGGCAGAAATATTAAATTAAAGCCACTGGTCCAAAACCGGTTTCTAGCAGGCTGGTCCACTCTGGTGTCCTGGTCCTGCTCAGGGGGAGCACTGGTGGTGGCACTGAGGACACTGTGGTTGCTGGTCTATGGGATCTGCACTGGTCCAGTTCAGGGCATCCACAACAGCACAGGTGGCACTCAACGAGGGGATGGTGCTCTCCAGAGTGGGTCTTTGCCACTTCTCTTGGTAAGGCAGCAGCCAAGGCCAGCACATCCTCCCTTTGCTGGCTATTTACCATGAGCTTTGCTACAGTGATACAGCAGCAAGACCTTTCTCCTACAGCTCCTCAGAGTACAGCTTTTGTTCTCTCTGATTCAGCAGAAAGCTCTCGATGAAACCTTCCATCCGTAATAAGAATGCAACTCTTTTGAACTCAAACAGTTTTATTTAATGTTTTCTTGCAGACTTTCTGCAAAGTAGCTTCTTTTGAAAGAAGAGAGAAAGAAGGGGTTTTTTTTTTTTTTTTTTGGGAATACCAAGTTAAAAATGTGAGCCGAACTAAACATGCCATACACATGCTGAGAGGAATTTAACACACATTCATCCGTATGGGCACTCTTCAGTAGACTGGACCAGTGTTTCAATGCAAATTCCAGCCCCCAGAGAACTACATGGTTTAGATTTCACAGTATGACTTTTCCCCCTGTAACCTGGGGGAAAAAACCTTAACTGGTTATAATTGACCAAGTTCTTAGCTGCTCTGTCCATCGAGGTTCTGAGACATCAGAAAAGACTGGACCACTTCTTCCGTGGACTGGGGGCTGGTGCTGACGTCCTCCAGCGCATCCGTGACCGAGAACTGCCGGTCCCGCAACCGGTTCCAATTGGCCAAAATGTTGTGGTACTCAAACACCTTCTCATAATTGCCAATGGAATTGTACAGTTTAATGAGACCTCTGTAATCGTATTCAAGTCCACTGTATCCTTCACCAAAAAGCTTCTTTCCTAAAGAAACCCAAGAGAAAAAAAAAAGAACCAAATTGAGAGGTAAAGTATCCAATGGGCCACGTCTGAGCTCTCAGGTTATTGTTACCAACAAAATTTGCCTATGTTCTCCACTTATGTTCTAGCCACAGAATGCTGTCTAGAGACTAACAGCCAAATTATTTTCTAAAAACTTCAACTGAAGTTTGCTGCAGTCACTTACCAATTGCTATGGATCTCAGATAAAGCTTTTCAGCATTTTCATACTGGTTCATGTCATAGTTGTAGAGGGAGGCGAGGTGGCCCACGGAGAGGGCGACTTCATAATCCTCCTGCCCTAGGAGCTGCTCCTTGATCTGGATGGCCTTGATGTGCATTTCCTCTGCTTCCTGTCAGGGCCAGATTCACATAGGTCAGTCAGGTAACCATCCACCACACCAGAAAAAGAAGGGAAAGTCAGTTTAAAGAAACTTAACTATGTAGCAGCTCAAACAGTAGCATTTTGTAGCAGGCAAAAAGTAACAAAGCCAAACATAAACCAAGTTCTCCAAATTCTTCAGCTGAGTGTATCAGCAGCACCAAGCTGTCACCCTCTGGGGGCATCATCCATCTCCATGCATTATTTTTGCACAAAGCTTTTGGGGTGAATGATAAAGCACAAGTTCTCCAAGCACAGAACTACCAACTTGTTCCACTTGGATTGTGGAACACTGAAACCCCACATTTGCAGCGAGATTTCAGCTGCCTTGCAGATTTTAGGTCAGGAGTAAAGCCTTACCTTGAACTTCCTCATGGACTGATACAGTCTGCCCAGGTTGCCGTAGTGTTTGGCTGTCTGCACGTTGAACTCCCCAAAGGCTTTTTTAGCCAACTGGAGTGAGGAGAGGTGCAGGTCATGAGCCTCCTGGAGCAGCCTCTGCTCTGTCTCCTTGTTGTGACAGTCTATGGCAATCTCCTCCAGGATAAGTGCTGGGGGCAGGAGACAGGAACTGTTACTGTGCCCACACCCAGCCGTGGGGACACAGCTCACCAGGCTTTGTGCCTGTCACAAACTGCTTCCACAATGCTGTGTCAAGCTCCCAACACTTGTTTATATTCTGTAATTTCATCCCCCCACTCCAGCTCATCTAGCTAAGTTGTTTTGGGTTGTTTTTTTTGGTATTTTACAAGTATAAACAAAAAGGACTACAAACATCTCCACTGAAAAAGACAACTCAAGCTACATTGCCTGGGAGGGAACAGATGAACACATTCAAATTATGCAAATAAAAGGGAACTACCTTTAACTCTCTTTGAAGAGGCCAAAAGGAGATGGTCTTCTGGGAGAATGTGAGTGATAATGCCAATAGCACGTTCAGCATGGAATCTGAGAGAGTCGAAATAAAAAATTCAGGATACGTTTATGTACACCAGCAGTTGACTGATAAAAAAATTAGAAATGTGAATGCAATGAACATTTTTCTTCATTTACAGCAGTAACTGTGCTGCTGTGTGTTGTACTCACAGTGCATTGTCAAATTTCCCAGAGCTGTACTGGTGAACATACGAGGAATAGGCCAGGTCTTCATGAGCTGTAGCTACGTGGATGTTTTTACCTCCAAATACCGACTGCCGGATATCGAGCGCTGTCTGCAAGGGTTCCAAAAATACAATTTCATCAGTTAACACAGAAAAAAAACCCCCAAATTCATCTCCATGATCAATCTACTGGCTCTGAAATTCTCTACATATGAGACACTAATTATATGAAAGACATGAGTCAGAGGAAGACAAAGAAAGCAAAACCCCATAGCTGGCGGTGTTCAGGGTTTTTTTTTAAACTTCATGATTACAGTAATTAAATCAACTATTCTCTATCTCCATGAATTAACTACAACATCTGAGAGATGAAAAACATCAAGAGAAACAAGTCCTGCTGCCTACCTGATAGATGGCAACAGATTGGCAGATATTGTCTACGTTGAGCAGGTAAAATCCATAGTCTAGTAGTGTGTCAGAGTATTTGGGGTGCTTGGCTCCAAAATGTTCCCTGCACAAACACACTCCTGTTACAAACTGGGGCAAGCTGAGCACAATTTTAGAAGGTTTTTTTTCTGGAATGGGCCTTACCTGGCAAGGTACACAGCGTGCTTTATGAGCTGCTCAGCCTTCTTGAACTCCCGTTTCACCACACAGGCCTGGGCAGGGAAGGGAAGCACGTGAGCACTCACAGCTCCAGACTCTGCCACTCTCACTGTGGTTTTTAATTTCAAAATACCATTGTGGCTAATAAAGGACTTATTGGTTATTTAAGAAAAGGAGCACAGCATTACTAAACTTATTTTATCCTGCCTGACTGAAGGGTTTGCTGTACCAGTCCAGATCCAAGAGGGACCAGAGCCCTTCCAGGGAAGGGTAACATTGTCACAATGGTCACTTGTGCAGCTCTAACTCAGTTTCAAAGAGACACAAATAAAAACAAAACCCCCGTCCACTCTAAGACAAACACAAACAACAACCCTCAGGGCCCCTGAGGAGAATTCTGGAGGTAACAGCCTCTCCTCAGCCATTCCTGGCAGTGATTTGGTACCCAAAGCAAGGGGGAGATTTTAGATTCACCTTTGATGCTTGTCGTAGCACATCCACCACAACTTTTACAGGCAGCCCAACTGTGATCTCCTTCATGGCTTCTATGCACCACTTATAGGCCTGTGGGACAGAGAGGCACCAGCACAATGAAGCTGCAACTTCACAACATTGGAACATTAAGAAAAAAATATTACCTGCCTCTGAAAAGCTGGTCATTTACATTCCAAAATTTAAAATATACAGTTTGATTGCTTATGTGTAATGAATTGTCCAGTTATGTCTTAAAAGACAGACTTAAAAACCACTTTTAAGGTTAACAGTGAATATGTAAGTATTCTATATTAATCTAAGGTTTAGAATATTACAGTGACTTGTAGGATAGAACAGGTATTTTATGATCTTTAAGCAATTCTCACAACTCCCATTGTGCAGGGGTTAAAGGAAAATCAGTTTATGGAGTAGTTACACTTCAGACTGTTTTACAAACAGGTGCAAAGACTGTTCTGCTATTCATTTTCAATTATTAAAATAAGCTTTCATAATATTTCATTTACAGGTGGCCAACACATATGGGCAAAGTTATCCATGTTACATTGGTCCAAGCGCTGTGAAGAGACCACGACATGCAAACAGCAGCAGATGAACGAATTCTTGCTGTGGCAGTGGCACACAGACCCCAGGAGAGCAGCAGCAGGAGTGCTGAGGCCCGTGCAGGGGGTGGCAGTGCCAGGAGAGGCCCCAGCCTGGCTCACCTCGTCGTAGTGGCTCTTGGCGAAGAGCAGCGCGCAGAGCTCGCCGTACAGCGCTGCCTTGTTGGCCTGCTGCCCGTGCTTGGCCAGCTTGTCCATGTACGACTGGGCCAGCTTGAAGGTCTCCTCTCCCAGGTGGTACTTGCAGTTGCCATTCCGAACGTGCAGCAACCTTGGGGGATGCAGAGAGAGCTGCTGAGGGAGCTGGAGGAGCCTCTGCCTGCAGCAGCACCAGGGAGCTCCTGGGGCACACTCAGGGCTAGAGCCCTGCCTGGGCACAGGGCAGGAATTTCTCCTGCTGGAGATGTCACAGGATTTTACCTATTAATACAATTCTGCATTGAACCATTCTGGTGTGCTGCCTCTGTGTGTTATTTTCTATAAAGTCCATTCTTCCCAATGCTGGTGCAATTTCTCTCCCAAAGCCCTGCCCTACAGAGTCTGAAATCCCTCCCCAAAGGGTGGAACCTCAAATCAGCCCCAGTAAGTACAACACAGCTCATTTTCCTGCATCCCTACACTTTCCTCCCCAAAACCCTGAGTAGCTCCAAGTGGGCATTTTTGTGCTTTGGGGCTTGGGAGAGGTCTTCACATAAGATTTAGTCACATCCATTCCACACGAGATGCAGCTCCCCCAGGACAGACCATTTTATTGACCACAACTCAAACACCCCCTGCTCTTCCCTCTCCTACCCTGCTGCCTTCCCATCTGAAGGATCAACACCCAAACACAGCCAGTAACACCCAGCACTGGTGAAACCTACTCCTGTTCCTCCAGAAGTAACAGTTCCAGCTTGTGGCACTTATTACAAATAAAAGAATTTGTGTATTAGTGCAGGCTGATGCTCACTGGCTTTCATCAGGTGAATTTACAATGGATGTGTTTTGATATTCCAAGCCTCAAGGGCAGAGCTGGATTCCCAGCCAGGGCAGCTGCTCCTCCTCCATGGCAAACACCTGCCAGGGAGTAGACATGGAATTTTGGTGAATTAACCTCCCCTGTCCCTGCTGGAAATGTGTCATTAGACAGTGAGTAACAGACTGAGAACACCAGGCAAGGCTTGGGAAATCAGGGCAACAGCACAGGGAGAGAACTACACAGAGGGAAGGGAAGCAGAATGTGAAGCTGCATTGCAAAGAGGCTCCAGCTCTGACTATGTGGGTTAATGCACAGGAACAGCATTCTAGTCCTGATATGATAGATGAGGATAAAACTGACAATCAATTGTTAAAGGGGAAGGAGTGAACAGTGAAGTTTTTGCTCAGTTTCTTTTCTAAACCTGTTTCCACTTGCTCTAAGTAGAAATTGAAGCTACTGCAGTCATTCTCCTTCATGGAGAGTTCATCCTAAAAACCCAGCCTGTCCAACACTGCCCTTCTGTTTCACACCCAAATGCATCACCAAACTCAAACAGTAACAAGAAAGGAAATAAAGTCCCTGTTTTCCTAAGCAGGGCGTGAAGGCAAGCACACAACAGATGAGCATTTGCTGCACAAAGAGAACATCAAAAGCAAAGCCCTTCAAAACTCTGCAAAAGCTACAAAAACTCCAGCTCTCCAGTGGGAAACAGCACCGTGGCTCAACAACAGACAGCAAAAAGCAACACCCACATTTTTCCTTAAATAAAGCCTCAGAACCAAACACCATTTACAAGTGCACTGTGTGCCTGGTCACAGGAACATTCCAGCAATAAGAGACAGGCATTATAAAGAAACGACAGAAGAATTAAGTAAACAGTTTTCCTAAAGAGAAAAAAAAAAACATTTTGCCGACACCATTCAGTTGGGAGCTGCTCTGCAACATCAAAATCACGGAGCCCAAATCCCATGTAATGGAATAAGCCAGTGGGGATAGCACTGCAATTTAGATAAGCTCCTGGGAAACATCATATCCAGTGTCTGGATGCTTCAGTGATAGTGTCTAGAAACAAAGAAATCTCCCCAAAAACCAAGCTAAACCTAAGCCAATCCTCTAGGATAAGCAGAGTTTATGTGATCCAGTTCTGAGTGGCAAAAAATCCTTTATTAATCCACAGGAATCTTAGGAGATAAAGCCAAGAGGAAGAGAAAAGGCCTCGGGACGTTTATGCTAATGGCTCTGAACCTCCTTTGATGTCTGCAATAACAGCTTTTGGGGACTAACCTCCCCCAACAAACTCAGCCTCTCAGAGCAGCTTAGGAAGTCTAAAACCACCAGAAGAAAACAACCCAAGAATCAGCCAAATGTGCAACAATGAAGTGGGAGAACCACGTATTTGTGTGATGCATTTGTACCTTATTGTTTAACACAGAATAATGACAGCAGGCAAACCAAAAGGAGCACCACACTCCCAGGAAAGCAGGGAAGCTCAGAGAAACCTCACACCTTCCCAGCTTCTCCACAGAATTTACTGCTGCCAGGACAAGGAAACACCCAGCTGAGCTTAAATAACAAAACTTCACACTTTTTAAAACTGTTCTATTAATATTGCAATTCATTAATTCAACTTCCAGAAATTTGATTTATTAGCTTTAGAGCAAGCACTTTTAAGAAGTGTGGTACTTTCACAAGACAGACTTGAATTTTGTTTCTTTAAAACTCCCCCAACTCCAGTGCAAGAGCCTCCAGCAGTGAGGATCAGGTGGTAGCAACACTAAGTTTATTCTCAAGCTGAAAAGCAGTAAACTGAGTATAACAACTGCACTCTGCCACATAAAGGTGTTTAGATTTTACAGATTTAGCCCTTCTCAAAGTGTTGACGTTCTTTCAGGTTGATACAACCCCAAACCAACGATGCTGCGTGTTTGGGAAATGCCAGAACAATTCCCACTCCCCCTGCTGCCCAGAGGGTGATGTCCCAGCAGAGCTCCCCGGGGAACAATGGATGTCTCTACCAAACAGAGCCAACAGCCCAGGTCAGAAGGGCTCATTCTAACACAGGACGCTTTCTTCTAGCACAGAATAAAAATCTCCTTTCCACACTATTGCCCAGCAGAGACAGTTCCCTTTTCCCCCCCTGCCTTTCTTTCCTTTCTTTTCATTTCTATTTGGAGAAGGTGACAGAGTTATTTTTAAGCAACTTCTCCAGCTCGCCAAAGAGCTTGATACAACGAGAAAACTTTTTTTAGATTAATTAGAAGGCAAAGGACCAAGCAGTAACTGTGGCTCTGTATCCATCAGTCCCCAGTTCTAGGAAGCTGGATACGTGTGCCCAGGCTCCTGGCACCATTTCTGGAATGGCAGCCAGCAGAACCAGGCAGAGCAGTGTTGCCATGGCCCTGGGGCTGGCACAGGACATCAGCAGCTCTTGGCAAAGCCTCTTTACTCTTCGTGTTTGCCCAGCCATAAACAAGATGCAGGGCTTTTTTTGGAGCAGCTTTCCAAACAAGTTTTGCTCTATATTCAGATAAATACAGCACACGCTTTGTTCTTTGTTACAGCAGCTAAAAAAAAAAAAAATTAAAAAAAATTCTACTTTAACTCTGCCCAGCAGCCTCCAGGTGCCCATGGGCACATCTGGAATGTGCAAAACCAGGCTGGTCATGGTGAGAGCAACAAAACCCAGCCAGCTCCTGCCTGCAGTTCATCACACCTCGACACACAGGGGGAAGAGCAACAGAGACCTCTGCCAATGAAATGTGAACCCCTGCAGGCCCCGAGGAAAACAAGGCAGCTTCAAAACTATAACAGCAAAAAAAAAACCAAAAAAAAACCAAACCCAAAAAACCAACAAAACACCTTTTCTAAATGTTTTCAGCTGTGGCTGGAAGTGCCCACAAGAATTGGACATCCAGACCCAGAGCTAAGCACTTAGCATGAACCAAGTTCTTTTGCTGGATCTGGGATCAGGAAAGGTAAGTTTGGCCTTAATTTCTGCTCAACTATATCTATTTTTGTTTGCATTTGGATTTGCCAAATTCTCTTTGTAGTAAATAGAACTTCAGTAAAGTGCAGCACAGAACATTCTTTCATATGCAAAAATCCTCGAGAAAACAAGAACTGCTGGACCACTCTTATCCAGCAGTGTTACCCATGAGAGATCACACAGGACAGCAAAACACTGGGTTTTTTAATCCATTGTACTGTGCTGCCAACTTAGAAGCTGAAAATCCAGGGATTAGTGTAAAACAAGCACCTCCTGATCTTCAGCTCCAGCCAGGAAAGTGTTTTGGTGCAGCAGAACACCAAAGGAGCATCTGGAGCTGGATGGCTCCAAGGTTTCCCAGGAATTGAAGGTGAGCTCACCTCACACAACACTCCACAGCACGGAACCAGTGAAGGATTTCATCGTGGAGGGTGCACAGCTGAAGGCAGGAAAGGAAAACCTTCTCAGCATCACTGTACCAGCCTGCATCTGACAGGAACCCCCCTGCAAAAATCAGCAACAAACAGCAATTTGAAGAGCAGAACATTTTCAAGAGAAAAAGGGTTTGCTCAGGTCTTGCAAGATGATCGCTTATGTCAGACCTGCTTCTACAGACAGAAATCCTGTCAAGGTCAAACCCTCCTGACTGGAAAGGATGAAATGTAAGAGGAGAATTCTCCTACAGCTGACAGAAATAATACTTTGGTTTAGGATGGTTTTTTGATATTACAGAGTTTCCCTACAGATTTCTGTCAAAAAAACCCCAAAACTTACCTACACTAAAATCATGCAAATACATCATCACATCTGCAAACCAATTTAAACCTAAACTATTTGAACTAAAAAGTTTATACATTCTTAGCTATTATAATCCAATATATTCCTTTAAGACACCAAGTAGCTTTCTCAAAATTCCATTTCAGAACAGACAGTTCTTTAAAAAGAAAAAAATGTTAGATTAACTGAAGCTTGCAAGAGAGAAAGCAAAGAGCCCATGAGTAGCAGTTACCTAAAACAAAGCCAATCTGGATTGCTTTTTCTTTCACAGCAGCATCTGACTCTGCAATGTAGGAGCACCGTCTGCTGAAGGAATAGGCCAGGACAGAAGCAACCTTGACCCCATGGTCCATCAGAGCCTGGAAACAGTGATGGAGCAGATGTCTGCAACAAAGAGAACAGAATGTGGTTACACACGGAGGTTTGAAGGCAGTCAGTTGGTTCTCAAGAATTTCAAGGACAGAAATGAAGCCCAAGCTCCCTCAAACCCGAAGCAGATGAGTCCAGGCCCCACCGTGAGGATGAGCTGATGGATCCCAGGTGCCGGGGGATCCAACACAAAGCCAGGGCACACAAAGTTCTCTGCAGGGACACCCTGTGCTGGAAGGCAAACACAGGCTGCCCACACAGGATTAGAACTGGAAACCGTTTCCAGCTCAAACTCGGCAGGGAGAAGCCCCAGAGCCCCCCTGCCCCAGCACTCGCAGACAAACGAGCAGCGATGGCTCCATTAGCATCACACAGCCATGGGCACCGCGGGCTCAAGACTCCAAGCTCATCCCGGTTACAAAGAACCTGAGAGCTAAAACAGTCAAATTCTGTAACGCCAGAAATGTATCAATTTCATGACAGGAAAACTCCTCAAACTGGGGCAATCCTATCAGCTTCCCTCAGGATTTGCTCAATCAGCAGGAAATGGGCGCTGTGACTGCCACTCCCAGGGACTCTGGGCACCGATCTCCCTGTGTTGAGCAACTGGGGGGGGTTTGCATCATTTGTTTTTCTTCATTTTGCCTTTTTTAACATCTCTTCCTAGATAGATTAAGAGTTGAAATGAGAATTATTATCTGTTAAAACACTCACCTTTTGTCTAAAGCTCGTAGCACCTTTGCAAAAACTTCTAGTTCACAAAATTCACTACCCAGCTGGCACAAGCGGCCCTGTTGGTAAAGCTGAAAAAAAAAAATCAGGTAAATTAATCTTGAAAATTAAGATTGAGTTTTTCTGGGAAATTCAGTTTACTAGCAGAGAGCTTATGATGAAATCTAGAATTTAAAGCATTGAAATTCAGCAGGCTAAAAAGTAAGTTCCTTATCAGAAGATTTCACCTCAGGAGCACAATCTCAGTGTTAAAAGCTGAGCTATGAGAGGTCTAGAAAAAAAATAAACTTAAAGCCACCTAATCTATGAATGGATTTCTGGGTGTTTGTGCCCTCCTGCATCACCAAAACATTGCCTCATGAAAGCTACAAATACAAGACAAAAATCAAGAAACTACTGAAGTCAGCAAAAACTACAATTGACAGATTTGCTATCAAATGTTTTCAAGACATGTTTAAACAACACATAATCCAGGGTGCAGCAATGCAAATATATCAGATATAAATAAACCCAAACCCACAAGTTCTGCAAGAATTCACCAAAACCAGCAGTACAGACAGGCACCAGCCCTGTCCCCACTGACACCTGGGCTTCCACAGGTGATTCCCCCACCAACAAATTGGAAAATTGGAGTCTGGTCATGCATTTATTAAAAGCATTGCTTGTTTTACACCCACAGTGATTTGTGTCTGTAGATAAGCAAATTTATCAGCTGAGTTACTCACAATAAACCACGGGCAGCTGTCCATGCAGTGCATGGTTAAATTCTGTCCCATCAGGCTATAAATGCTATGGATTTACACAGGTACAAAGGGACTGTGCAAATAAATGTCAGAGAAATCCATTGTGAACTCTTAATTCCCATTATTTTAAAGGCCCTGACCCACAGATGAGCACAGGAGGGAACATGACCTAAGGAAGCATCACTCCACACCTGCCACAGGCACCAACAGAGCTTCAACGAAAATATTAATATTCCTCCCAGTTTTAATAATGCCTTAAAATGCTTCCAGTGATAAGCATCTGGTGCCTGCTTCACCTTTTTCTCCACAAACACTGGGAGCTGTGAATTAATATTCCAAACACAGCACATGAGAACATCTCCAGCCAAAAATGTAGTTCTAGTCAACTCTTATAAAAGCACACAACACTGGCTCTAGAGCACAGCAAATTTGTTATTTTAACAACACGACCTACAAAAAAAAAAAAAAAATCTTCAAAAATATTTTGACCTAATAATGTCAATTGCCAGAAATGAATGTTTTTCTTTTCACTATCTATTTTGCTGGGGGAACATAAAAAAAAAAAAAAAAAAAAAAAAAAGACAGGAAAAAAAAGGAAGTATTTTAAAAAAACAGAGCAAGTTTGCATGCAAAGTTACTGCTCAGATAAAGCAGCGTGTCCCTGCACTTCAAAGGGATCAGAGCTCCTGCTGGAGCTGGATTCTCTCTGGCACTGAAGGAACAGCCAGTCTGCTGTATTTAAAAGCTACAGTCATGGTTAAATGTTCTCATTCCTTCAGCACAGCTGTCTCACAGTGAATGTTCTATAAAACCTGAAATGTATTTTCTGCAGTAAAAAAAAAAAAAAAAAAAAAGCTGTTTAAATTCTGTTTAAATTGCCTGGTATTCCATGCCCTAAGTGAAGGTGGGCTTCCATCAATAATTGAGGAGATCGTTTGTGGAGGAGGCTTAGACACATCCCCAAAGCATTTGTAGAAGGATTTAAGGCAACCAAAAACACCATCACATCTCACAATGCTCAAGTACAGTATCACTCCCTCCCATCACCTTGCAAAATCCCAGAGATTCCTGGTTTATCAAAAATTAACCATAGTAAGACTTTTAAAAATTTATATATTTATGAGGTTACATAAACACTTCTTGTAAGGAGAGAATCCCTCTTACATGAGATTCTGGATCTGGCAAGGAGTAAATGGCCTGGTGGGCTGGGAGGGAGGGGAAGGTCCCACAGGACCCTCAGATTTGGAACATCAATAATTTCAGGCACATGTCAAGTTTGGCTCAGGCCCCAAAGTCCAAGCTGCGATTTTTCACTGCTCTAACTCGAAATACAACATTTTTGGGACTTTTACTACCCCTGTAACCCCTTCCCTCGACATACTGGCAAACATTTTGAGGAATTAACTCAGCTGGAAGCCTCTTGGAACTGTTGTGGCTGTTACAGCAACATTTTCAAACGAAATTTGACATGGAAATAGTGAGTATACATCAAACTGTGAAATAATTCCAGGAGATGCAGTAACACTCATGGAGAAGCAGTTGGGAGCAATGAAGAAATGATTTCCTTGTTAAAGCTTCAGAAAGACAGAATTCCTGACCACAGCCTTGCTACATAACACGACAACAAAACAAAACTTGGAGTCAAGAAAAACATGTCCTGACATGAACACAGAGCTTTGGACTTCCAGAGAACTGTTCTGTTCTGAAGAGAGAAATGGCTTTTAGACACCAGCCTGACCTATTTGGAACCCACCAGGGATTTTTTTTTTTTTTCTTTAACTATGGAAAAATGACTCAAAGCCTGCAAGATGACTCCCAACTCCTTCAGCTCACACGTGAGTTGTGGCACTGAGGACAGGTATAAATTTAATATACAGGTGGATTATTACACACACACCCAATCCAGCTGCTGTGCACAGCTGTGAGAAATCCACAACTTAGATGTTAGGATCTAAGGTTGAATGTTCAATTGCATGTCCAGGTGGGTGTATTACAAAAGCTGCACATTGTGGTGTCTCCAATTAAATAGATTAATGACATTGACTTGCAACTTTATTATATCATAATTATATTAAAGTTCTTTTCTTTCTCTCCCTGGGTAGACAAAAACCAAAAAACCCAAACTTCTCTAAACATAATAAAAAAATATATTTTTTAAATAATTTTTTAAAGCAGATGGGGATTAATTCCAGCCAGCTGTACAAGGATCCTCCAGAAGAGGAACTGAAGAAGACGCAATTTGAAAAATATGCTCCTGTTGCTCCAGTTTGGAAGAGAATTGAAAAACATGGATATTTCAGTAAGAATTACAGAGGAAATCCAAGAAGCTCCTCAGCATGTTTTGTAATGCCTAATAATGTAATATGGAGTATCAGGCCAGACTGGGGAAGGACAGTGTATCTAACAAAGAGCAGAATTTGGGAAAAAAGTTGGGCTGAAACCACCATCTTCCTTCCCCACTCAACAAGGAAGGAAAAAGTTTTCCTGAGTCAACAGGAATCAATCTGTTGACAAATGACTCATTACCAAAAATAAACAGTTGGAAATTTAGGTACATTCCATGCTTTTAAATCAATTTCAAAATCATCTACAAACCCTCTGGACAAGCACTGCTTCTACTGGATTATGTTTCAGGCATAAAAACCATAAAATTCCAGCTCTCCTTGGAAAGCACAATGCCAACTACCAGGCTGATCTCAGATCTCAAACAAATAAATAATCAAGAAAAAAAGCAATGTTATTTAATGAGTATGAATTCAGAGACAGCTTTTAGAGCCCAGTGCTTGCACATCCCAAATGTTCCCTCCTGCTCTGCTCTCTGGGCCAGAGCAGCAGAGTTTGTGTTCCACAGAGTCCAGCACAAGGGATACAAAGCCTGAGCCTCACACACAATTCTCCTCAGGAACTGGGAAAACCCAGCCTGCTTGGAGCTCAATCAGCCCAGAGGAAATGAAGTGGAAATTGGAATTATTGTTCAGCAGGAGCTCAACACCTCTGTTCATGATGTGACCTCATTATCTCAATTATGATGAGTTCTGGTGTCTCAGACTCAACAAGGATACTGAAAAGGTAGGGAAGTTGGGAGATACCAGATGAGGAAACACAACCCAGAGTTAGAGGTTAAAAAAAAAAAAAAAAAAAAGGCAGTCTGTGTAGCACAAGTCAGAAGACAAGAAGTTTCAAATCAGTAGAGACATAACAAGAAAAGACAGTTCAGTTCACATCTAAATTTAGACTACAGAAATAAGGCATGTGTTAATAATAATAACTGGCAAAAACTCATGAGGTAATGATTCTCCTTCACTGTGAGGCTTTAATTGGAAGAGGTGCTAGAAGGATCTGCTTTAAGCCCAGCAGCACTCAGAGCACACTCGGCTCCTGCCAGGTGACAGAGAGGTCGCACACGTGTGTGAAACCATCACACATTTCATTGCTGACCCCAAACACAGCGGGAGGAGGGGAGCTCAGTGCCTGGGGCACAGCAGAAGCCCCTCAGGGATTCTGGGATGCTCAGCTCCCTCAGCCTGTGCTGGTGACCTTGGCTGTTCTTCCCAGGCAGGGAAGCTCGGAACTGAAGCAGCAGCAAAGCCACACTTCATTTCAGGGGCAGCTCATCCTCCTCACTCCCATCAAATCCCCGGAGAACAAAGCCTTGGGACAAACTTGTTAAGGTCTGATGGACAGAAATGATGCTTCTAATGATTCTCCATCAGTAAACTCAACCTCTGCTGCAATGCAGACATCAGACATTCTGCTGCTTGCTGTCAACAGTCAGCAAATTCCTGTTTGTTCGTTTTCTTTGGTTCAAAGAATACCTGAAATTAACTGAAACCAAATTAATGTCACCTCCAACTGCTCCTGTGCTTAATGATCTCACTAGAAAATGTTCCAAGAACAAATCATTTTCAAGAAAAATCAATTGGAAGAGAAGCACACAATCCAGAAAAGACATTCCAAAGGGAAAATGAACATGGGATGAAGCTCCTTGCTAACCAACACAAGTCCAAGATGAGGCTGGCACTGTGTGACTGCAACAAACACCTGCACAGAGAACACTAAAGCAACAAAGCACCTTGAGAACCAAAGCCACGAGATAATTATGCAAAATAGAGTCTAAAGCAGAGGCACAAAAGGGAAAGAACTGAAATCTGTACAAGACACTGACTAGAGAGTACAAAACCTGACTTCTGCCAACAAACTTAATTCTTTACAGAAACACTCTCCCTCAAAACTTATCCTCACCCCAACGATCTACAGAATATAAGAAGTTGGTTTTTTTCAGGTTTTGGGGTTTTTTTGTTATTTGGGTTGTTTTCGGTTTGTTGGTTTTTTTTTTTTTACTTGCAGTTTATTCCAGCTGTCACTACTTTTTAATATATAATTTTGGCATTTTGCTCATATGCTGAATCTCAGTTGCATGAGATCCAACACTTTTTTTTCCCTTTGGCTTCTAAAACCCACACACACCCTCTCTATCATCCTCCCCCCCAAAAAAAACAAGCAAGAGAACCTAACTAGTTTAACTAGGAAGAAACCCAACCAGGATATACACAAACCTGGCAAACACCCAAAGGAAACAAAGTATGATATGCTTGCACATTTTTATTCCCCCCCACCAGAGGCAGGTGTTACTTCTAACAATACCAGTTATTAAGCTCCCCAAAATACAGCTGTGATTAATAAGACATTGAAATATTTTGTAGCTCAAATGTAGGCTTGGAAATTTCCAGGATATCCTCACAAGCATCCTGCTCTGCCTCTTATTTTTCTAATGGTTGCAAGGAAAAGTCAAACAGTGCTTGAAAAGAAAAGAGATATGCAGTGATACCGTGCTGAAGCAGAGCAGGGCTGTTCTTTTACCACAATCACGATTATTTGGTAGTGCCTTGTTCTGAGCTTTAGTCACTGTTTGAGAATGCCCCAGAAAGATAAATATGCTCAGTGTGAGGAACCTGCCTGTTCCTGTCACCTTGCAGCAGGACCCACAGGAACATCGTGCAGCTGTCCCAGACCCATTCCCCACTCAGCTGCAGAAGGCATGTCCCACAAGTTCACAATTCTGGGAGATGTAGAGCTAAAACAAATTGGATTCGTTAAGGAGTGGCAAATAAAGTGATGACAATAAAGCCAAACACTGGATTAGGGGGTGCCCTGGGGAACAACACCAAGACACTGCTGGTATTTTCTTCCCTTTCAATAGCAGCACATTGCCTGTCCCTGCTGCTCTATCTCACCTCCAGCTTCTGAATCTACCTGGACACATTGGTAAACCTGGGCAAGCCTGGCAAACGTTAAGTTTGAGTGTTCATACCAACAAATTTGATAAAAACATTTCTGTATGGCCACAGACAAATAACATGCCTAGATCAAAATAAAAATCTAACTGGTACCACCTCTGTTTTTTGCAAAAATCACTGGCAGTTTCTCAAGTACCACAAACCAAGACTAATACATAGATAAATTAAATGTGAAAGATTGGAAGTATTTTTTATTCCTTTTAATCATCACAGAATGAAAGTAATACAGGATACTAATAAATAATTGACACCCTCCAACACAGCAGCAATAAACACCATGTAACCAAACAAATATTTACAGGTCTTCTAGTCTCTCTTACTCCAAAGACTGTTAATAGCTTTGGAAATTCTACTTCTGCTTTAAGGAACTCAGTCAGAACATATAGAATATGGCTCACCATGATGAACTGGGATTTAATACCCACCAGATATTCAAAATAACTACCCAGAACCAAAACAGCAAAGCAAGCACCACACACACTGTGAGAGGGATGCTGTCCCAGCCTCGCCTCCCTCAGCCACCCCTGAATGACACTTTTGATGCTGTTGTCATCCAAACAGAGACTCAAGAACCAGTCACCACGTGTTCCACAGGTGCACAGAGAATCACAGCATGGTTTGGGAGGGAAGGGACCTTGAAGTAGCTCCAACCCCTGCCAAGGGCAGGGATGCCATTTTCTAGACCAGATCACTCCAGGCCCCATCCAAGCTGGTTGTTCTACACAGAAAAGATGACACTGAGAACATGGAAGCCCAGGCTACTCTTACAGCCACAGAACACTCACTGCAGGCATGGCCCAGTTTGGTTCATTCTGTATCAGGACATCCCATAGATGTGAGTTGGTAAGAGGAATATCAGTGTACCTTACACAGTTCAAAAACTCCAGTTGTGAAACACAGAAATTACAGGAAAAACAAGGAGGAATGGCTTCAAACTGACAGAAAACAGGTTCAGATTAGAAAAAGATGCCTGAGGTGGGTGAGACCCTGGCACAGGGTGTCCCTGATCCCTGGCAGTGCCCAAGGCCAGGCTGGACAGTGGAAGGTGTCCCTGCCCATGGCAAGGGTGGGATGAGATGGGCAGAAAGGTCCCTTCCAACCCAAAGCAGTCTGTGATTCCATGTAATCACTGTCATTAACAGCTGAACTGTCCATACAGCACAAACACTGTTCTGGGGATAGGCACTTATCCCCTTTATTATCATCTGCCCAGCAAGATGACAAACCCAGGTCCTCAAGCTGAAGAAACGTGCTAGAGTCTCCTCAGAAATCAGATGTGCTGCTGGATCTTCTTCACCATGGAACAACTCCACGTGAACCTGATTCAAAGCAACCACTCAGGAGTGCTAAGAAAAGCATGAAAAGTCAGTGATCTATTAAGCTCACCTACAGATGAGTTTTTAAACAGCTGGCAATAACACATCCTTGGATATTTCTATCATCAGAAGGAGGTTTTGTTTCATGCTTTTAAAAGCCACAGAGCACCATCCTCTCACCTGAGTAAACATGAGAACAAGTAATGCCAAGGAAGTTTATTTGTCAATGGTCATACCAATTAATAGCTGAAAGTAACCCCCAAAATATTCTTCCACATTGTGATTTTCATATCTTTAGGCTTTAGCTGATGTGTCAATCAAATCATTATCTGCGAGCATGCTCATGTCATAAAAATGGGTTTCCATCCTTCTCAGCACCTAAGGCAGACATGAAATAACCAGGACACAGAAAATGCACATGCCTATTTCAATGCTAGAGAAGCAATTTTCCTGTCTCCAGTAAATGCTCCTACTCTCCATGTATGTGATGGGTCATTACCCTTGGTTCATAAAGATTAGTTTAAAGAATTATTTCATTTAAAAACTCCTAAGTTTTTAGAAATTCGCTGGCAGAGGAAAATCTTAGGTTTGTGGTGGTTTTTAAAGACATTGTTTCTTCCCTGATGAATGCTCATTTCCAGCTGTTCCTGCACATGAATGAAACGTCTGTTTAGTGGACAATAAGAAATTAATGGACCATCTCAGTGCACCTTTTACACCAAATCTGTATATTCCAGGGGCAGCTGAACGAGGAACAGCCCTTTCACCAAGGAATAATTTAATGCTAATAAACTACAGCATTAAACAACTGTCAGTTCTTTCCATCTGCCTCTTACCAGATCATTTATGCTAAACCACGGCAAAGTGCTCCCTCAACCACCGACATCACCTTGTCCAATACGTTAATACAAAAAAAAAAAAAAAAAAAAGGAAAAGGAAAAAACACCTTCCAGCACAGCCAGCTTGGCCTCATCCTGCCCGCAATGCTCCTCAGTGGGGAGAAGCCCTTTCCCGCCGCGACCCCAAGGCCGGGCCCTGTCTCCGCGTCCCCCCCGGGGGATCTCAGCCCCTCACCGCGGCCTCGGGGCGGCTCCCGGGGGCAGCCAAAGGCCCCGGCACGGCCCGAACCCGGAGCCGCCGCTCCTCCGGCCCCGCAGGCCCTGAGCCCCCGCCTCGCCCTTCAGGCCGTGCCCAGCACCGGCGAGACCCCTCAGCCAGGCCAGGCCCGGGCCGCTTCTCCTTCCACGTCCCGCAGGCCCAGCCGGGCCCGGCCCCGCTCGGCCGCCGCCGTACCTTGTAGTACACGTCGAACTGGATGTTCTCGGGCAGCGAGCGGATGTCGCGGCGCCGCGCCCGCCCGTAGCTGTCCACGACGGCCGAGATGGCCGTGTTGTAGAGCGTCTCGGGCACCCACTCCAGCTCCACCGCCGCCATCTTGGCTGTGCGGAGCCGCCTTCCCCTCCCTCCCTCCCTCCCACCCTCCCTCCGCCCCGCCGCCTCCCGCCCGCTCCGCCTCACGGGGCTCCCGCCGCTCTGCCCGCTCCGCCTCGCGCCCCGGGGCTACCGCGGCTCTCGCAGCCTAGCCCAGCCCTGCCCGCCTTACGGGGCTACCGCGGCCCTCCCAGCTCCGCCTCAGGGCGCTCCCGCAGCCCGGCCCGCCTCACGGAGCTCCCATGCCCTGCCCGATGCGCCTCACACCCCGCAGCCTTGGCCGCCTCACGGGGCTCCCATGCCCTGCCCGATGCGCCTCACACCCCGCAGCCTTGGCCGCCTCACGGGGCTCCCATGCCCTGCCCGCCTCACGCCCCGGGGGTCTCCCGCAGCTCAGCCCTGCTCGCTCCGCCTCACACCCCGCAGCCTTGGCCGCCTCACGCCCCGCGGAGCTCCCGCAGCCCTGACCTCTCCACCTCACGGAGCTCCCGCACTTCTGCTCGCTCTACTTTACGGGGATCCCACAGCCCTGCCCTCCTCACGCCCCTCGGCGCTTATCCCCCTGCCCGCTCCCCATCACGCCCCATGGCTCTCATCCCCCCTGCCCGAGTGGCAGCAGTGATAACGGGGCACTGTGAGAGAAGCACTACTGAAGCCCTTGTGGGGTGTGGTTTTTATGGAGGGTCTGGAGCAGCTCCCTGATGAGGGGAAACGGCGGTAGCTGGGCCTGGTTAGTCTGGAGAAGAGCGAGGCGGGATCTCGTTAACGCACAATAAACCTCTCAAAGGTGTCACAGGACAGTGCCAGACTCTCCCCGCTGATACCCAGAGACAGGACGAGGAGAAGTGGCCGTGAACTAAAACACGAGAAGTTCCACCCCAACACGAGGAAGAGTTTTTTGGGAGGGAGGTAAAGCCCAGGGAGGGAGTGGAATGTCCCTCATTGGAGACATCCCAAACCCACCTGGACACATTCCTGCTCCAGGTGACTCTACCTCGGAACAGATAAACTTTAAAGTTCCTCCCAAACCTGTGGATTCTATAAATCCCATAAAGGAGTGAGGTGGGATTGACCACCATGGCCTCACAGCCCACACCAGCCCCAGGGACTTTATCTTTAGGGCCTGAGCATCAAATATCAAATATCACCCTCACACCCTGAGCTCCACCCAGCCCAAACTTCTCAAACAGAGTGTAAATATCATTTACAGCTCACCTGTGCTAACACCCAGCTAATATTGGGCTTTCCATGACCTCCAGGGGTGTTGGCAGCTCATGTGAGCATTATTTGGGCACCCAGAGTTTGCTGTTACAGGACATAATAATCATAAATATGAAAGAAATTTCATTATTGTATGAAATTTCTATTGCTGGTATTTTCTTAGCTCGTGTAGGACTGCTACTGTTCTTTTTTATTTTAATAATTATAGGAGGCAGAGCTCCTGCTGTTTTGCTTTGGGCACATTATTTCTAAAACCCAAGTTGTTGCTGTTCCTCCTGTTTTTGTGAGAGAACATTATTCTTTGTCCTTTACTTGCAGAAAGAAATGTTATGGGGTGGGAAGAGAGGAATGTGTCATAAACAGACCATAGATTGTTTTGTC